GTAACAGAGACTGGACCGTGTGGAACCTCACACAGCCTTCCAGGCCAGCCAAGGAATAGCATGAGAACACACTCATAGATAACAGAACAAACTTCCACCACGTTTCTCTGGGACGTGAGACAGAGCGCAACCACTATAGCTCTGTGCCAGCAATGCACTCCTGCTCACAGGGCAGAAGAGACGGAACCCTCAGGAAGCAAGTCAGAATAGCAGGCCCGCCGGCCATGGGAAGATTATGAGCACCTACTTTGTGCCCTGAGCTCATGCAGTCCTCCTCAAAACACCGCAACGCGGGGGGTTGGGGGGGTCATTTCAGTTTCACAGATGAGGAAACTGACGCTCCAGCCAAAACCCAAGCTTGTACTCAGCAAGACTGGAATATGAGTTCAGCTCAGAAATGTGCTCTTCACCATGATGAGGCCCAGCCTCAGGAGCTTTGGATGACTGTGTTTGGTTTGAAATATATTATAACCAAATGAATGAGAAATGACTTATTATAAAATATTCAATTACTAACATGACTTTGTCTCCCCAAGTGAGGTTAAGTAGTTTGGCTAATGATCAGGCCCCGTCATCCACTTGGGACCACTTCTTGCTTTTGAAAACAAGCTCATCAGCACGTTGGAGAGGACTTATCCTCCCACAATGCAGTTAGGCTCACATACTTTGGGGCAGGGTTTGGGGAGGACCAGGAGAACCCGGGGAACTCAGCCTGGGAAGACCAACTGGCACGAGAAGCTCTGCTGTCCTGCTCGGGCAAGGGCACAGAGAAGGTAAGGACAGAGAACACAGAGACAGTCTTAGGCCTTTCAACTTTACAAGTGTCCCTTCACCATGATTCCTGGGAAATAATTATTTCTACCCGTGGTCATCTCATACAGGGGATTTAAGAGAGTGGGTTCATTAAGGAGAGTCAGGATCACAAACTCATTTAAGTCTCCTTGAACCTGTTTAATCAAAATGATTTTCTGCTCTTCTCTATTACAAGCTGAGTTTCTGTGGTGACAGATTAATGACTGATCTGCTAAGCCATACCACCTCTCTTGTCACCAACCCCACTGACTGAGCCAGCCACCATTCCATCAATAAGGCCCACTTGCCCTTGAAACTCATTATAGCTGAGCTGTTAAGATCAAATGAGCAGATCAGATGCTCCGTGACACCCCAGTTCTGCCGCAGAGCCCACCAAATCCCACAGTGTGTGTGGGGGAAAGAATGCAGCTGGTCCTCGGGGTCTCATTAGAGTTACAAACTCAGGTCACTCCAGAGTAAGATAAATGCCAAAGCAGCACTTCTGATTCTCTGGGCCTGCTCCAGGTAATTATCCTGGAGTTAAATGTCAGGGCTGGTTTCATGTGTGCAAAAGAAAGAAAATGTCATGTTTGTTGTAAGCAACAATATTATTTTAATCGGATCAGAAGCTCGTTATTAGCAGAAGATAAGACCCGATGTGACCCCTACAGAAGGTGTGTCCATTCTGTTGCACTTTGTCTCAACCTAAGGCTCCTCACTGATCGCTCTTCCATGTAAAGCAGGGAAGACTTGCACTGTGCTAACAGCGGAGGCTCCCACCCGGAATCCACTCCACTCCAGGTCGGCTGCTCTGCAGGGTGAGGGTCTAGAGTCAAGCTGCCCGGCTCCAGTCCAGGCTCCTCTGCACCCCAGCCCTATTAACTCTGGGCAGGAGACTTAGCCTCCCAGTAAATCAGGGAAAATAATAATAGTATTTCTCTCCTAGGGTTGTTATGATTTAAATGAGATAATATGTGTAAAGTAACTTAAACAATGTCTTGCACACTAAGTGCTTCATTAAAGTTAGGTAGTCTCTATTTCTGCAATGTTTAATTTTTTTATTATAATCAGCATGTATTACCTTTATAAGAAAAGCTTATTTAAAAAGAGAAAATACGGTAAGAACGAAACGTGTGACGACGTAAGAGAAAGGGCTTCACATCCAGCAGACGAGAAATTACCAGAATAAGAGATCACGTTGTTTCTCTTGCTCATCCTTAGAGTCAACAACCCCAGCACGTGCTAGACAGTCAAATACTTGTTGGAATGAATGAATATACAAATGAATGTAAGAATAAACAGAGGAAAATTTCCTTACAGGAATGGTTATGGCAAGCCAAATAAGATTCAGAAAAAAGAAATCGGGAGAAGAGCTGCAGCTTCTTGACCCCTCTGCCTCAAGCCACAGAGAGGTTACATGCACATGGGACGGGCAGGGGGCACGGAGCACAGAGCCAGCCATCGTTCCTGTTTCCAAGTTCGCACACCACCACCATCAGTGGGTCTCACCAGCTCTCTAAAGGGAACCCTTAGTTTTCAGTCTCACAAGTTCAAAAATTACTTGCAAATATCTCTCCCCCAAGTACAAAAGTAGGGTGAGTCACGGGAAAGGCAAGAAGTTTTCTTTCACAATGACATTCAAAAACTGACAAGCATCATAACAATAATCTCAGGGCAGTATTTCAAAATCATCAGTGGCTTCAACAAAACAACTAAAACAATAGCAGAGAAGCTGAGTTTGTCAACCTTAAGCAAGGCTTGGCTCAGTGAAAAGTATCAGACTGGATGAGCCATTCCACTGGCTGGGCTTTGTCCTTTGTCCATTGAACAGCTGGTTTCTACAGGAAGCAACCTTGTGTTCCCTGGTCCCGGGGGACTGAGGCTTTATGGTTATTCCAAGTAAATGGCACAAATGAAGGCATTGGACTTGACCTAAAAGATTATCTAGTACAAGTTTCACAACACTTTAAAGAGGTTAATGGCATTCAACTATGTCTGATCCACAGCTAGCATCAGAGGACCCCATGAAGCATATAAAATGTTGATGATTGAAGATATTTGGGATTTTTAGATGTTTTTAATGTTACTATGAATTATCATTTTAAAAGAATCTATGCTGTTTTAATATTAGTTTCACACCTCAAATTACTCCAGAAACAAAAAAGCAGCACATCTGAACAGAGAAGCTTTTCTCTTTTTATAACGCTTTGGACATTTTTATAATTATTAAAGCAGTACTTCCTAAGCATCCTAAGAATTACCCAGAATGTTTGTTGAGAACATGGGTTTCCAGCACTCATCCCAGAAATGTGGAGGCAGGGTCTCCAGGTGGAGAAGCTGGGTGCCGTGGCTGAACCAGAACCCCAGATGCACTTCATAGTCAGTCAGGGCTGGAAAACACTGATCCATGGATTTTAAAAAATCACCATTTTCAAGAAAGATGAGAAATGAAGAAAAACCCAACCTTTACCAATGTAAAGGTAAATGGAAAATGAGAATAATGCCACGTTTCACTGACACTAGAGAACCTTGAGCAGGCATGAAAGCACAGGAAATCTGTCCACGCCTCTCAGGCCACAGCTGCGCTCAGCCTGGCCCCGCTGCCGCGCACCAAGCCACCCGCATGAGGCCCTTCCCCTCTGTACCTGGCTCGGTCCTCCCTTCTCTAGCCCAGCTAAGCATCTGCCCTGTTCCTCAACTCTATCTAAAATGTCACAGTAGAAGGAACAATCAAAAAATGATTTCTACTCTATGTGAGTCCATGAATGGAAGCTCCTTTGGGGCATCTTCTGGGCAATTTGGGCATCTTTTTCAGCTACAGGCAAAGGGAGTCAGTGCAGGGCTCCTCAGAGCTGAACAGAAGGGACTAATGGTGGTTAACAGGGCAGGGATCTCATGGGCCAGTGGGAGGAGCAAGAAGATATCTGCCACAAAAGGCCCCCAAATAACTGGGTAGGTTACTGAAAGCCCCCTTCAGAGAGAAGCAGCCCACAGTCAACTAGAGGGAGTGGGGAAAGAAACAGAAAGAAGAGAGGGAAGTGAGCCCCACTCAAGGCTATGGGCGCACCTGTTCCTCTAGACTAGGACCTGCAGAGGTGCTCTTTGGGAAGCATGAGAAAACACCTGGATCACCAGAATCCCCAGGCTCCCCCTGCAAGGGATGGGGATACCCAGAGTGGGGCTGAGAGGAATCCAGTGAAAGAGGGTGACTCCCACACATCTCCCACCTCCAAGAGCCCTGGACGTGTTGACAAGAACAGAGGCTCCAAGGGCGGGGCTCTCCCAAGAGCAGGCGTTCCTCATGGTAGGTATCCTAAAACTCCTTCCCTAGTCACGTACCAGAGTGGGCCCCAGCCACCTGGGGCAGCCTCTGGAAAAGCTGGCAGCAGCTCCCAGAGCACAGAGGGAATGCCATCTGCTGGACGGACTGTGCCAGGTGCCTCTTGCCCCTGCATCCCCTGGGGCACACGTGGGGAGCAGCAGCCCGCCCTGGGGCAGCAGCAGGCAGCAGATGTGCCCCCGGGTGCCCTGGAATAACTCACTCCCGCTCCCCCGAGGGGCAATCCTCTGCCACCCAGGCTGCTCTTCAGGGCAGAGACCAACTCCAGGAGCTCCCTGCTCCTTTCCCTTCCCCTAAAGATGCCAAAGGTCAAAACCACCACACTCCCCACCCCCCACCCTTTTAGCAGGCCCATTGCGACGCCCCTCCAAACACCTGGAGCACCTGGAACACGTGGCGCTTTAACACATGAGCTGGTTCACCCCCAAACCTAACGTAGGCAGCAGAGAACCTTCTGGCATGCCCTAGAGATCGTCCAAATCACTGCTGCCCGGGGAGGTTCTCTTGGGGGCTCAGCAGTCAACCATCCACGTCAGGAGAATTCAGCAGCTCAGGGAGCCCTTCTCTCTGCACCTGCTCCCTGTTCACACCACGTTTAGTTCAGTCACCCCCCACCACCACCCCCTCCGTCCTACAAATACACACACCTGGACCACAGGTAACCAGGCAGGGAAAATGAAGCCTTCCAAGTTGTCTTTAAAGTTCTTCCCAGGCAAGATGCAGCCCAGGCCCTGGGACCCTCAAGCTGCCCTGGAAGGTCTGCACCAGTCCCCCCTCCCCACCCCAACCCCCACTTCAGAGACTCCCCCGACCCCCGGCCACAGAGGCTCCAGCCCACCCGCCTGCAGGGCCGCGCGGCGGTACTCACGTCTCGAAAGCGGTTCCAGTACTTGTCGCGGTCGTACTGGGAGACGGTGCTCAGCCACTGGTCGTTGTCCAGGAAATTGCCGTTGGGCCCCGCGCCTCCCGCGAGCGCTTCCAGGTGCCGGCTCTCGACCTGGAGGACGCACCACGCCGCGGCGGCCGCCGCCAGCACCGCGATCGGCGGCATCTGCGGGGCGGGGCGGGGGCGCGCGGCGGTGAGCGGGGCGCGGGCGGCCGTGAGCCTCTCGCCGGCCCGGGCGCCGCGCACCGCCCCCGCCGGCCCAACTGCAGGGCCGCCCCTCGCACACCTGGGGCTCCTGTCGCGGACCTGGAGACCCCAGGACCTGTCTCACGAATGGCGGGGGGGTGGGGGGGAGCACTCAGTCTCGAAGGAAGAGGCTGCGTCACAAATGAGGGGCTGCTGTCAACTAAATAAGACCCCTGTCAGCTCTTTCCTGGGTGCCCCCGACCCCGCTACTCTCACATGGAAGGCTTCAGGACCCCTCCGCAAAAACGGGGAGCCCTGGGTCCGCAAGCCGCACTCCCACAGACGGCGCCCAGGGCTCCGAGCAGCAGTCCGGGAGCAGGCAGGATGGGGCGCGGCGAGGGGTTCCAGCAGCTGGGAGGTTCTCTCCCCGCCCATCCAGCCGCTTTGGTGTGAGGGGCGCGCAGAGATACCCCAGGCCCCGCACCCAGCCAGCCCCTGGGTGGTCGCGGGGAGGTCCCAACTACGCCAAGTTGGGGCGCGGGGTTCGGCGGCCACATACCTTGGGGGCCGGACCAGGTCCCCGCGTCCGAGTTGCCTGAGCTCCTGTGGCGCGGTCGTGAAGAAGGCTAACGGGCCTCTCGCTGCCCCGCGCTCCTGCCACCCGCCGCCGCGCGTCCGGCCGCTTTGTGAGCCCGCGGCGCTCTGGCTCCGCTCGCGCTCTGGCTTGCTCGGGCGCGGCGTCCGCCGGCGGTGGGGCCGGGACGCGCGAGATGAGGCCTCTGGCGACCCCTGGCGGCCGCACGCAGCAGTGCCGCCCGACCCGCGGCCCTGCCGCCCCGCCGCCCAACCGCCCCTGGTCCAGCACAGACCGGGATGTGTTTGTCCACATCTTTACTGCAAGACTGAAACAAGCTCCCAGGCCCAAGCTGGTGAGAGACTGCTGAGGGGATGCAGGACACAAGGCCAAGAAGCCGACCAGCCCTGGGGCCTTCTCAAAAGGACGATCGTAGGGCCACCGCAGTCAGAATCGCCTTAGTTGAGGAGAGAAGGGGGCTCCTTAAAATGGGGGTTTCCAGGCGCACTCCCAGACTTGCTGCATCAGCATTCCTTAGGAGGGTCTCCCTGAGGCGGGTCCATTTCTGCGCTGCCCATCGCAGGTCGTGCACCCACCCGCCCGCACGCCCTGGGCACCCCGCGCTGCACACCGTGCCCACTGCTGTCAGTCCCTCCAGTCACACCGTCTGGCCTCCGTTTCCACCATTTCTCCTCCTCCCTCTCCCCACATGGGCCCTGCGGGTATGCCTCTGTGTTCTTCTGCACAGAAGCCCTTGTCTGCTGCACGGGTCCCAGTATCGGCCTGCTCGGTTTTCCTAGAGGGGAGGGCAAGGAGGAGAGGAACACTAGTCCCAGCTTCGGAGACAGGACCCAGAAATAGGAGGCTGGCCTCACCCTGCACACCCCATTCAATTTGCAAATTCTCAGCCATGTCCAGTGGAACGGAGCTGGAAGGGAATTAATGCGGCCTCCCTGTCTGCATACAGGTGACACCTGCTGCCTTTCTCTTGTCCAACCACACCCGATTCCCCAGGCACCTGAGCGCTCTTTTAGAACAAATCTGACACACTCAATCCTCTCTCCTCAGCACACACTTAACAGTCTCCATGTTTCTTTCCTGATAAAGACCAAACCCTTGGAGGGGCGCCCAGGCCCCACACACCTGGCCCTGCACACCTGGCCCCGCCTGCCTCTGCTGCCACACATCTCAGCCCTCCCTCCTCACTTCCTGGGCAGGCTGGCCTTGGTGTGGACCTCAGGGGCGGTGGGAGCCCTCAGCACCGGGCGTTCACTTCCGCCTGGCCACTAACACAGGCCTCGTTAGTTCCCCCAGTTCATTCATCTGGGTTTCTTAGGAGGGACTCTTGTGGGGCCTGTGGGCCCGGCCGGCACCCTGGAGACACTTTCCTTGAGAACAGGATGCTTCTCCAGCTGAAAGCTCACGGCCCTTGAAATCATGCCACATCCATGCCACCCCCCGCCCCAGCCAGAGCTCTGCGAGGATGGGGGCCACGTTTGGCTTGTTCACTGCTGTTCCCAGTGCCCAGCACCAAGCTCCTGACACACAGCAGGTCTTCAGAAAGTATTTGATGGATGGATGGATGGATGAATGAATGAATTGCACCCAATCATAGTCTGAAACCACAATTCCCAGCCAACATACCCCAACATGTGCTATACAGGTCAGTGGTAAGTTGTACTGCAAATAATTTTGTTGTGTAGTTTAATGTATAGAAGCTGGATTAAGATTTTTTTTTAAGTAGCAGATGCTTATCCCAACATTACTCTGACTAATTTACATTCCTAGAAGCATTCTTGAACAGGAGACAAAGGAGTGGAGTCACAGCTACATATTGGGGACTAGATGTCATCCATAGTTTATTTTATCATGGGAATATTTTAGGCATTTCAGTGTCATGTTCTGGGCATATCACAGCAGGAGAGAGGTTTAGAAACGATGGAGACAGCATTTCTCACTTTCATAGAAACCCCAGGAGGCAGCTACTTCCCCATTTCTCTGCCCAGTTTGATGGCAAAACTTCTCCAAACAGTTGTCCGCAGATGTGATTTCAGCTTCCTCAGTGCCACTTTATGAAGCTGAGGAAGCTGAGGCTTATGTGAAGCTTCAGTGAAGTCATATATCCAACTTCATACTTGACATCGCCTCCATATGTCCCATGGGATGTCTAACTTCACCAGGTCAAAACGGAAGTCCAGGTTTCCCTCCGCAGACCTGCACTCTGAGCAACCCCTGTCACAGTAAATGGGTCTCCGTCCATGCAGCTGTGGGAGCCAGCGCCTGTGAGTCGTCTTCCATCCCTCCCTGTCCTCGCCCCCCACTTCCAGTCCATCAGCAAGCTGGTCCATCCCACTCCCGAGCCCTCCAGCCCGGCCATTCGCTCCACCTCCACAGGCACCCAGCCATGTGGCAGTCGCTTCTCACCTGGATGGCTGCAGTGGCTTCTTGGTAAGTTTCCTATATTTTTTCCTTTCCCCTCCAACCCACCGATCACGCAGGATCATAGCAACCTTTTTAAAACAAAAACCACCACTTGCATAAAAACATTCACTGGCTTCCCGGGACACTAAAACAAAAATCCCGACTCCTACCCACGACTAGGAAAGCCCTGCACCATCTGGTCGCCCCACCCCCAACCCTGTCCCTTTTACTCCCTGGACTCCAGCCACCCCTTGTCACAGTTACATGCACATGCAAAGCATGTCCTCTCCTGACCTCCTCCCTCGGCTGGGACCTCTGCCTGGAATGGCCCTCTCTCGGCTCTTCGCAGGCTGGCTCCTTCTCAGTCATCGGCTCTCAGCTCCAACGACGCCACCTCACTGAAGCCTTCCCTCACCCTTCCATCTAAAACAGGCCGCACTCCAACCGCATCTCTACCCCACGCTGGCACCTGGCTGTTTTCTCCAGGGTCCTTTGTTCTTCTGTCTCTCTCTTCCCCAATTCGAATATGAATTCCCGGAAGGCAAACATATTGTCTTTTTTACTGCTGTAGCCCCAGGCTTACCTCAGAGCCTGGCATTCAATGGGCACTCAATAACTATTTATCCAGTGACTGAATGAATGAATGGGTGAAGCAAATTCCACAACGCTTAACTCATTCTAAAGTTTGAAAACTGTCTGGAAAAGTTTCCTTTCGTTGCTCTTAAATCCCTCACTCTACAGATCCAAGTTTTGCTTTGCGGACATGGCCTGTCCCCAGTTTAATCAGAGGGCATCTGCTCTTGGCCAAGCTCCACCTCACGGCGGGAATCTTCCCTGTAACTACCTACGGGGTGGAAAGAGCAGCCAGAGAACCTCGGGCAGGTGTGAGGGAGCTGCGTCTGGCCGGGGCAGAGAGAGGATGTAACCTTGGAACAGGGGCAGGGAGGCTGGAAGCTGGAGACCTGCCATCAACTCAGCCAGCACTTGAGGGGACAAATGTCAGATTTATTCAGCTGCGGGAAGCACTCGGGACCAAAATCAATACTGAGCCTTGGGGCTGTATTTCTGCTTTTCAGTGGCTTATGCGGAACTATAATAACTCCTTGTTTTAACATAGTTCTTATTTCCAAAGAGCCCCACATGTTTTATTTTTGGTTTAATAGATCCTCAAACATGAACTACTGGGTAATCTAAAGCAGACGTAACTATCACCATTTTATGTAGAGCATAGGTTAGATGAATTGCTGAAGGTCACAGAAAGAGAAAAAGATGAATCTAGTCATGGGAGTTTGAGGTGCAGCCCCCACTTCATGATACTGTGCTGGCTTGCGTGCGATTCACCCACGGGGCTCTGTCTGAGAAAGGGGTGCCGATAATACTTACCTTACCATCAACCCAGATTTATTCTTAGCTGTGAACTCATACAGCCACGTGTCCTCTCCATTGGGCCGTCTCACGGGCACTTTGAATTCAGTGTGTCCAAAACCGAACATTTGAGCTGCATCCTTCAGCCAAGCCAAGCCCCTTCTCATGTCCCCACCTCAGGAAAATTACCACCCCGACCCCCAACTGCTGGTGTCATTTGGACCACCGTCTCGGTCCCCACCTTCCGTGAATCACCAATATGTCGAGACCATCTTTGCAGTATTTCCAGTTTCACTCACCCTTCCCCACCCCGAGTCTGCTTCCCGCCAGCTTTCACAGCACTTCACAAAGCCCCTTACAGGGGTTTCTGCCGCTGGGCTGGCCGCTCATTCTCCACGCAGGCGCCAGGGGGTCCTCCCTCCATATAGGTGTGATCCCGTCTCTCTCCTCCTGTCCCACACCCTGAGGACAAAGAGCAGGCACCTCACTGTGAAGGCCTGTGCACCCCACTATGCCTAGGGGCTGCCGGCCGCCTGTCCCACACGTCCCTCGCTGTGCCCTCTGGCCACCTGCACCCAGCCCCCTCCATCTCAGGGCGCTCTCTGGGAGGCCCCCTCTCGTCTGGACGCTCTCCTCCCTCCCTGCCCTTCTCCTTGCCAGCCCCCACCTGCCCTTCAGGTCACAGCTTCACTCCAAGTCCACAGAAAAGGCTCTCCTGGCCCTGACAACCTCGTGACACTCATCATGGCTGTAAACTGTCCATCTCCCACTAGCCATCCAGGGGGACAAGGGCGGGGTCCAGGTGTGTGTCTGTCTCATTTGCTGCTGAACCCACAGTGTTTCAAAAGCACCACATACACAGTAGATGCACAATAAGTATCAACTGAACAGGTGAACGCTCATGGCTCAATGTATTTAGTTCCCTTCTTAGAAGCAAAGAAGCTCCCAGGTTTATGCTGGTATCTTAACCCCAAAACACTCTGCGGATAGAAGGTGGGGTGACATGATCTCTCCACTCCCAGGCTATTCTGCAGGTTTGAGGTTGATGTTGTAACATATCCTGGCCCCAAGAAGAGGAAAATGAAATAGATGCATTTCTTGACACCACTGAAAACAGCTCACCCAGCAGGGCCTGTAACTTTTATGAACATGTCGATTTCACCTATTGATTATATATCTGTATTCAGCAGAGCTCATTCCATCTCCCCACATCACCCGCCGCCAGCCCCACCCCTCGCACACGCATTCTTCCCCCATGCAGAACTGTGGCAAATGGGCAGCCCAGCTTGGGAGGAATCGATTTTAAGCAAATAAATACTTCACAAATA